CAATAGCCTAACCCAATGAGTAGAAGATATAATTTCAATGTTCTAAAAAAATGTTCTAATTTCTTAGTTTACCAGTCAAAAGGTTTGCACATTGCAATTGCAGTATTGAAAATTCCCTGCATTTACATATAATATTACTGAAGTCTGGCAGCTCAAAATTTTTTCCTGAATTTGAAATTTTATGGTTTGATCTGAGTTGATTGTGCCAGGAAAGCTCTACAGCCAGGTGCCAGGAAAGCTCTACTGCTGCTGCTCTAGTCTTAGTAGTGAGTAGTCAATGCCCTACGGCCAGGGTGCAGAAGATGGAAGCAGCGTTGCCAATATATGGGATCTTAAGCCCAAAGCTACGACTCGCAAAATAGCCTGTATTCCAGTGGTGCGACTCATTCAAACTTGAATAACTTAAGTTACAGACAAGGCAGCATGATCAGGGCTAGTCTAGTCAGACTAAATCCTAATTTCGCACTTCTGGTTTGTAAGCTAGTCTGACTAAAGTTTCAACTACTCTTGACACAACATGATTCCCTCACTGATGTATGGGGCATTCGTGAGTGGATTATGAAAGACAACTGGGCCTACTGAGTCGCAAAAGTCATTAAATATGCTCCTATACACCTTGCCACATGAGCATCATAATCGGTAAATATACGCCTGGAAACAACTAGAAAATTGGACTAAGACACATATGTCTGATTTCAAGGTATCTAGGAAAAGTGCATGGCTCATCAATTTCAAGTTGGTCTCCAAATCAAATTTTGGTTCATAGGTGGAATCTCTTAGCTTCTTTCTTGATGGCCAGGAGTTGGTTAAGTGATCATCGGTTTTCATCAAGAAGACTGTAGCTCCACACCAACCGCTCCTAAACGTCAAATAAATGCGTTCATAAGAACTAGCCTTCTAGAAATATTGACATCAGGAGGATGTTTAAACTGTTTTGTCACAAAGTCATCAATGAATTAGCTGCAGAATTAGAGTTATTCAAGGGTTGACACAACATGGTTCAAGTAAGCAAAATGAAAATTGTGCAATAAAAGGACAGGATTAACATGAGAACCATTGAAAATCATCCATCATTCAATAAAACAGGCATGAATAACTGGAAAACATTTGTTAAGAGCTCAGCAAAGACAAATATAAGCGTGGTGACATTTTAATGAGCTGAAATGCACTGTACTCACCAAAATGGAGCATCAGGATGGGATTAACCAAGCAGAGGTGTAGATTGGATCATGCATTAAGGCATCTTAAACAGGCTTTTGAAGGTCAGAAAAGAATCAGGTGCAACCAGTGAATTTCCACTTCAGCAATCAGGGGTGCATATTAATCAAAAGTGCATATCATATGGACTTGCAAGAATTTCGTCTCATTAACTTTTACTCTGCTTAAATATTACACCAAGGGAAACAAGATACAAGATTAATAACATGCACATGGCACTCAAAAGGTAATGAAATAAAACATGAAATACATTAAGGTACAATTTTGAATAAATGATTCTACTATATACTATAGCTAATGTTCTGCGGCCCTCTTCAACGGCATTTATTATTCAACTACAATAAAAAAATTTGCATCACACGGGTACTAACGCTTGAAAAAACATTTTCTGTGCAAATGAAATTGGATTGTGACTGCAATAATCAAACTACAAATCATTCTGGGGTAAAATGCTGCTAAATGGGAAGTTTATAATTCATTTAGATGATTTCTTACAAAACTGCTCTAAGCAAAGCATGAAGTGGTACCAACAACTGTTCAAGTTATTGGAAAAAACTGTAGCAAATGCCTGGGTGCTTGGTGATCAGTTCTATTGTCAGTAAAAATCGATGTGAATTGCTGAAGTCGTTGAAGATTACTGAATGTATTTTCACTAGTAATAGGTCAGACACGTGAAGAAATGTTTCTATAACCAAATCACATTGATTGTAGATGTCGGCGTTCCAGCTCTAAAGTATTTGAAGCTGAGGATCTGAACTTCATGCCATGACAAGCTACTGATCTGAGTCTTGCTTTAACATAATTGCAAAAAAAGGAAGTTAGTTGGTGCTAAAGTGAGACGAAAAGCTAGAAAAGTAACTATCAATTGCTAGCCCAGTACTTGGAATCCGTATCACTGTTTATCTTGCTTTTTACAGTGCCATTCTGTTTCTGTGTGAGCTTAGGCAACTTTCGAATGACTCAATACTTATTTTTCTACTGCTATAATCCATACCAATACCGAAAAAATGATTTTCAACATATTGGAACAGGATAACCCCTTTATTTAATACTTTTTCTTTTTCATACCCACTCATTATTTCAGGCTACATTCCAACTACTAAGATTCTTATGATTCAATTGCACGATGTTCATATTGGTTTTTGAAAACATTATTGTCAATTATCCATCATATTTTTCACAAGTTTATGATCTGGCTGATATTTTCAAGAGCTTTTTCTAAAAAATTAAATTTTGTAAGTGTGCGCCATATATGGCGCACATCGCAGTTTGGGACATGCATGCATGTACCATATATGGCGCATGTCGCAGTCAAAGTGTTAATGAAAAGCCATTTATGCTGAGTAATGAAAAACTATTTAGGGTAAACGCAGTATATCCCGACACTTTGAGGATGTAGCAAAAAAATTAATGGCTATAAAAAAACATACGCGCAACTCGAATTCTGTTTGCTTTACGTCACTCTCCAAACACTGCACTGCACGCCAGCTACAATGAAGCGTCACAAAATGTTGCCATCTGTATTTAAAAACCTTTAGATAAATTGGGCATTTTGTGAGACTAATTCCGGTCGCACTTCATACTCTACTAATTCGTAATGCTGACACTCTTGTGTTCAAATTCCGATCGCTGTGTGAGCTGTATTGGAATACTACACAGCTTGGAATTAGAACACTATTGAATATATAACACTACTTATTTAGGCTTTTAATTAAGAGCTATTAAGCTTTTAATTAAGAAATTTTTAATTTTTGTACACAGCTTGGAATGAGCTGTGTGTGTCTAATTCCAAGCTGTGTCGAATTAGTTTTTATGTGTATAACCATCTTGTAACTTAATCATCTATAAATTTATTTACGACTTGAAATCAGCAAATACAAGTATACTTAAAAGATTCCTAATATATTCACAGACTTATTTAAAAGTCTCAAACCATAATATTCTTTTACATAAACAGTTTATCACTATTTGGTAGGGCAAGGTCAACTACCAACTTTCTCAAATTTTTTGATGTTCTTGCTGAGTGATGCGCACTGTCTCTCTTTGAATCTCAACATTTTCCTGCCAGACGGCCCAGACGTAGTGTTTTGGCAATAGTATGGCGCACAAAAGTATGACGTCACTATTTCAACCAACAACGAATGCCTGGAACTAAGAAAAAGCTTAATATAAAGGAAAAAAGTTGAGAAGTGTCGGAATTACCCACGATGTCGGAATATACCGCGTTTACCTTACAATCCACAAACTTATTTACAAGGTTGCAACTTGCAAGCACGTGTTACCCCAAATAACTAATTGTACCCTAAAAACAGTCTGATTGTACAGCAAGTGTCAACTGAACATGTGATACTGCAGTCTGACCACTCTAATGTGACCACAACTATGGAATCATAAACTTGTTTGCATTTTTTTTTGGCGTGAACTCATCCCAACTGATTTCCGGACAAGCTTCACTGCATCCTGATCCATCCAACGTACCAGAAACCTTACTTTTTTCTAAATAGTTGGCCAAAGACTGACAAGTATATTAAATGCAAGAATTTCATTTTAAATGTGTTGGCAAGATCTTCTGAAGGCGTAAATTTTGCTACTCGAGCGTCGCCAAAGATCTTGCAATATTCATCCACTCTCTGCACAGTGACCCTATGGTAGCATTCAGAATCCAGCTGAAGTGCAACTGCAATGCAATATTTGAGAAACAACATGTTTGAAACAACTGCAATTTTTTACATTAAAAAAACTTTACATTTGAGCAACAAGATTTCATACCTACTGAAAATACATATTAGAGCTGCAATATTTCAGAAAAAAGTAAGAGTTTTCCTGACTTGAGGTCTTGAGGTGAGGCATGACCCGCATGAGCGCAACAGAAATCTCGAATCTTGATTACCTCTCACCTTGGTAGCTCATAGAACATTGATATTGTCATTGTGCATCAGATAGTAACAGACTTCACAGCCAACACGCAGACACTTCACTCTGTTTCAAAAGTTCATGCATTGTTTGCTAAATGACCTACCTACCTAGTTATTGCAGATCAAAACAGCTGAAATTTCACTGATTCAATACAAAGAATAGATCTCACTTCTCAGTTAGAGAGTATCTTGACCAACTAGAGCATGAGATTTATGGTTATTTTTATGGAGAATAATTAGGTTATTAGAAATGAAGGGCATTTTTCCACTAAATAGAGGCAATCAGGGTTAAGCTGTTAAGGTTTGGTATAAATTATAAAGTCCAACCCATTGAAAGTAATTGGGAAAGAACTAAAAATTGTTTTTTAGAGACCAGAACTATATTCCTTTAAAATTTAGTTCATATATTTATACATATTCATATAGTCAATGCTAGGCCTACAAGTGCTGAACCAAATATAATACAAACAGCTGCCCTGCAGCCATGTTAAGATTCATTGTCTTTAACAGAAAATGTTATGTCTTTTTTCTACAGGTCTTGAACATTGTTCATAGATGGACAATGTTGAAGAGTTGTTCTCTGGTGCTTGCCTCTAATTTTGTATTAATTTTTCAAATATTATGATATATATAAATGATATATAAATTGTTTGTGAAAAATATATAGACTAGATCATGCATTATTTTTATCATTTATTAAGTCATTTTAAGTTATAGATCAACTGATGGGTTACTTGAGTGTTCTTAAAGTTTGATTGAGCTAATTGTTAGCAAGTGATTTATCACAGTTAGTTTTTATTACCTCTATTGTGTACTTTATGTATTATTGTTATAATAATAAATATTTATCCTCCATAATTAGAATAACATTTTATACCAATCAAAAGATGACATAAATCTGCTTCATTCTCTTTACTATAGTTCAGTGGTTTAACTTGAAGTTTACTTCCTTTGTCATCATTGTGCATGAAAGTTATCTCAATTGGTGCAACTGCTGCTAGTTGTCTTAAAATTCCTCAAAGCTGGAGATGGGCTCATGTTGCTGCAAAACTCAACCTGAGCCTGGAGGGATGAGCAGCAACAATGCCCCCAATTCTGATTGGTCGCTGGTGAGATATCCATCATAAGCCCGTGGTTGTCGAATGTATTTTGTAAAATTTGGATAATACTTTTTTTCAGTTGCATCATCAAGCCTTAAAAAACTCAGAGAGTTCTCCTATTGCCTGCTATCTTGGTTCTACTGTCTTATGCTTTTTTCAAGCATGAAATTTATGGCACGTATCATGGGGATATACCTGCACAGCTTTTTCATTGAACAATCAATCCTAAGTTCAATTTTGTTGTAGTCCAGTATATGTATTCATCATTTGTATATTCAAGAATATACATTTCTCAGTGGATGGATTACATTTTTTTCATTACAGATACACACTCCTAGAATTGTTCATGAAAAGATTATTTGTAAATATTGTTCTATCCCAACAGTCCAATGAAAGCAGTGCTGGATTGCCTACAGAGCTATCAACCACCAGCAGATATGTTTTAGAGACCCTTCATGTCATCCGCTCTCTGGTTGACAAGTGAGTTAGTAAACCTCTTCTCCCCATATTTTGCTGCTATACCTATCAGTTGCTTAACTGTAGGCCTAAATAATAATCTTGTAATGCCTGTTTTCATTGCCTTATTTGACTATAACATTTTTTTTTTTTTTTTTTTTTTTTTTGCTAAGCTTCTCATTTGTGGATGTAAGATGTTGAGTTTAGTTATAATTCAGTTAGTCTTTAAACTTATTTGGAATAAGTCTAGTAAACCCAGCAGCTTGAAATTCTAAACATTAAAAGGAATTGGAAAGGTGTGGATCACTGTTCAGTCATAAATGATAAAGAAATAGTGCAAATAAATAAACTTTGAAATAATAAGACCTGAGGTTATTGAAATAATTCTTATTTATCTACAAATTAAATGACAAAACACTAAATTGTACTGGTACCTGAGAGTAGGTACCTAGCGTACGGTACTACCGAAGCCAATAGCTCAGACAGCTTAGTGGGTACACAAGAGACAACATGCTTTTACCTCAGTGGATAAGCCTTACAACAGGTGCTATACCTTCCATTAGTGAAAGTAACAAATCTCACACTGGACTATTTACTGATTGACAGAAATTGCATAAGGTATCTTGCTTATGTACATATTTTTCAATGCTTAGGGATCTTCGGCAGTTAAATCTAATAGCATGTTTCTATAAAAGAAATCTGGAAAGAAGAAAAGAAGTGTTTCTATATAAATGAAAATGTCCTTGTATTCCATGCTTTTGACCTGATAAATTTGCCTGTGTGTATTCAGTGACCAAGAGCCTCCTGCATCAATGTTGCACCTTCACAACGTTGCTGATAAGGAGAGCGGGTGGCTGAGTGTTGTTCAGAGTATGGTGGCCGTGATCCCCCTTGATGATCCTCTAGGCCCTGCCGTCATCACTTTATTGCTGGATGACTGCCCTTTACCAAGCAAGGTTTGTGCAGCTCTGATATTTATTAATTCATGCATGTGGCTTGTTCTGAGACCTATGCAAATATTTTATTTCTAACATGAGCTGGAGGCTTGGAGACAAGTAATCTTATTTAATGTCTCCTCAGCTTGCATAACATCATTTGTTTACGTATCTAGTGGCAGGGTTGGCAAGGCAGGGTTGGCACTACTACTAGTAGTGGCAGGGTTGGCAATTTTTTTTATTTTTTTAAAAAAATAAAAATAAATCAAAAATCAATTATTTTTTTGATTTTTTCATGATTTTTTTTTATTTATTTGATTTTTTTGATTTTTTCAACTTTTTCGTCTATTTGAAGTGTTATTTTTTATGTTGCAATTAGCCTATTAACAATAACAGTATATGGATCATAATGGATGGCTAAAAAGGGCACTTATTGCCTTCAATAATGGCCAACAGGCCAAGGTGGTGTTTACCACTTAGGGATTTTTGGGTAAACAATTATTGGTACTATGTCTATTCATTAGCTTTGTAAAGTTTGTATGAAGCAAGGTAAAAAGCTAAATATTGACCATTTAACTGGCTTCAATATACAAAAACACTTCAGGAATGCAGATCTTCTAAACATTGAAGAGTCACATAACAGATAGGTAGCTGATAGCACAGTGCACAGCACTATCAATAGATCCACTAGTTTTATGTCCTAAAAATCTACCAGACTCTACCCTCTATACACACCAACTTTAGCTAAGCTGTTAGCTACGTACAATGTATTGCACACTTGATGCCTCTGTACCAAAAACATTCAATTTATTGGAACCTAATACACACTAAAGGCAACAAGTTTATATACCAATTTGTCATTTATAGTACATTTATACTAAACCATGAATAACAATACCTCAATATAAATTAAAGACTGCCACTCAATTTATTTAAACATATGAAAAAATAAAAAAAATCATGATTTTTTATAAAAAAAATCAAGTGATTTAATCACATGATTTAATCATTTTGATTTAATCATTGCCAACCCTGATTAGTGGTGAACTTTTCAGGTCATTAAGACTTTAAAAAATGTATTTTAATCTGTGTTTAATCACTAAAATTGTATTTCAGGAAACACTTGGTGAGTTGAGCCAGTTGTTCAGGCTGTGCAGCTGTGAAGCCGCACGCAGCGTTCTGCAGCCTTGCCGGCACCGCAACATATGTGTGGTGCTTGGCTGTATTGCAGAGAAGCTGGCTGGTCCTGCCTCTGTTCCCCTCCTTACTCCACGCACCCTAGACTACCTGGTCACTCTTCTGGTGAGAAACTTCAGTGCCTAATTTTGCTTTTAATTTGCCTTTTCTCAACAGATACTAAGTCTAGTTACTAGGCGTTGAGACATGAATAGCTATGATGACTTGATAATGTACCTATCTGTTCATAGGTGGCTATTCCATTAAAGAGAATATTTTATACCTCTGATGCCATATGAGCCTTCACTGGCAAATCTCATTCTTATGGAGTAATTACATAAGTAAATTCAAGGTAGACCGAGACTTGTGACACGGATTTGCAAAAATCACCTAATCTGTTTTCTTGCTTTTCTTCTTATTTATTTTTTGTGCTAGATATCTTCATGGATCCCTAAAACTATTAACCCTCATGCACGCTGGCACATAATCCCAAGTGTATATTGTTAATCATGTCATCACATGAGCAAGATTTATCTCCTGTTGCTGCTTTTGTTGCAGTCTGTGGACACAAACCCTTGCGTGGTTCTTTTTGCTCTAATTGCCCTGGAAAAGTTTGCTCAAACGCGTGAGAATAAAAGCCTCATCAGTGAACGTCTCAACAGCGAAGTGAATTTCTGCCCCATGCATCCGCAAGTATCGCCTGATTCATGCAAAGGTTTGTGCTGCTTTTGCATTTTATGTATTCTTCTTATTAATCATAGTTTAGAGTAGCATGTGCGTTGAAATGCTTAGCAGCGGTGAATTTTGTGCACACCTATTAATTATGAAACGATCGGGAACATGAATATTGAACAATGTGTCACATTAATGTGTGTTCAGACACTTAGACACGTTCACCTTTGTCATCAGTCACATATTAATCCAGGAAGGATTATGTTTCAGAAAGGATTATTGAATCAACAGCAGAGAGACCCAACATCGAAAGCAGTCGTTGCACACGCAGCGTAACTCGCCGCCTCACACAGCACAAGTTTGCCCAGCGGCTGAAGCGCAAGCACAAGCAGGCAACACTTGCATCAACGTCATCACCTGAGAACAAAAATGGATTTTCAAGTAAAATAAATGCCACAAGCCCGGTCACCGATACGCGGGTGTGCAGTTCCGATACGGACTCAGAGGAAGGGCCTGTCCAGAGTGGCGCTCAGCCCAAAAAGAGCAAGACTCTGACTTGCTCTGGATCAAACAGGGGAAATCCTCTGCTCAGGCTCGAGCGTTGGATGCACTCTGATCTTGGCTTTGTGCACAGACAAGTGGGATTTTGTGCCCAGTGGTGCCTTGATAATCTGTGTAAGTAATTCATGATCAGTGGCCTAAATTCCAATGCTTTAGCCTATCATTTAAGGTCTAATATTTTTTAACTATTGTTACAGGAAAATGTTTTTTTGCATTTTGAAATCTTAGAGCAAAACAAAATGCTTGAAACTGTAGATAATCTCACCATCCAATCAGGCGTTGCAGCCTTAAGGAAGCAAATGTTAGGAACTACATCACAGCTCGTATTATAAACAAAAGACTATTAGATTATCCTCTTCAAAATTAGCAAGTAGAAGAAACAATTGCACAATAATTGTACAGGCTCGAATTTATGTTTGTTGTGTTCAAGGGCGGATGTTTTATTATTCTTCAGTTATGCTGGAAGGCCGCCCGTACTCCTACCTCAGCGTGGACCACACCAACCTCAACGCCATGCTGAACGCCAACGACGTCAGCGAATACCTCAAGATCTCGCCTGATGGACTTCAGGTTTGTTGTTCATCTTAGATTTAGATAGAATAGGTTTTTTTCATTTATGGCTGATTACTCTAGATTTTTAACGATTTTCACAATCGAAGTATGAGAGCTTCAGAGCTATTTGGAATTCACACAAAGCTTAAACTTGACAAAATTTATTATGAATGGTTTCGAGACGCGCCGACAGAATAGCTTGAATCCCGAACTTCAATAAAAAACAAATACTTCATGCTGTTTATGTCGTGATTCTATCTTGCAGACTCAATGTTTTAAGCGGCCAAAAATCTACAGATGGTAAACTTTCATTGGAAACATCCTGTAAAATGACATTAAAGTAACTGTGTATTCTGTAATTGCAGGCGCGGTGTGACGCAGCCTCGTTTGAGTCAGTGCTGAACATTGAGCTGTCGTTGTCCTGATTCTATCTTGTTGTTTATGTCGTGATTCTATCTTGCAGACTCAATGTTCTAAGAAACCAAAAATCAACAGATGGTAAACTTTCCTTGTTAACTCCCTGTAAAGTGACTGGTTTGTGTAATTGCAGGCGCGGTGTGACGCAGCCTCGTTTGAGTCAGTGCGGTGCACGCACCCCGTGTACAGCGGCGCGTGGTACTACGAGGTGACGCTCGTCACGGGCGGCGTCATGCAGATTGGCTGGGCCACCAAGGACAGCAAGTTCCTCAACCAGGAAGGTTATGGCATCGGTGACGACGAGTTCAGTGTTGCCTATGACGGATGCAGGTTTGTCTCGTGCGCTTCTTATATACGTATTTAAAGAAATTTGTTTAATTTAAGAGTTTCTCTGTACTTCTTCATCATGTAGCCTTTTTTTTAAATCCTGTGGGTAATTTTATGTTTTTAGCAATCAACAACAGAGTTTTTATATATTATTTGAATATTCGGTGGTCCGAGTGTATTGCCTCTTTGAACTCTTATCTTTATTAGGGGTTTGGTTATTGAATATTTGATGTCTGAGTAGCCAATTGCTTCATATTTATTGACTAGTCTGTCATGTCAATGCCATCTGATGAAATATCTTGAATCACCCTCCACAAGACGTCAAAGTATTAAGTCAACTATTCATTGACCAATGGAAAAAACATGATAATTATTTGAAGTATTAACATTTATCATTCATAACCTCAAAGTGAAGTATTTGAAAGTTTTCCCTGCGTTCAATAATATTTTTCTACTCTTACTTAGGAAGCTGATATGGCACCGCGCTGTGTCAGCGTCTCATTCTCACCGCTGCTGGCGTCCAGGCGATGTGCTGGGCTCTCTGCTGGACCTCAACCAGCGCCAGCTCATCTTCTACCTCAACGGCCTGCCGCTCCTCACTCCTATCACAGAGATCTTTGCAGCCACGCAACTGTCAGTTTAGTCACCTCTGTCGGCATTCATTTAGATTTAGTGACACGGTTACTTGGTTGCACAAAATCATATTATTGTACGTACCAGTATCAGTGCTACGAATAAATATTTCTTTAACCATGTTTTGTGTTGATCCATTCTCAAATTGTTCAGACAAAGACTTTATGCCGAAAGTTTACCGTAAATTAAAATCCATTAATTTTCGTATTATGCTTTGGGATAGCTAGATGGCCAAACCCCAGTCAAATGTTCGATAAAAATCTATCGAGTCAGGACACGCTGGACCTTTATCCTCATTGAACGCGTGCAGGTCAGGCTTCTTCGCGGCTGCGAGCTTCATGTCTTTCCAGCAGTGCGAGTTTAACTTCGGTCGTCGCCCGTTCGCCTTCCCGCCTCCAGGCGTCAACTTCATGAGTTTTAACGACCACGCTTCGTTGACCGACGTTGAAAGACGCATACTCCCTAGGTTGGATCACGTGAACTACGTACTTCAAAATAAATTGTCATACGAGTTCATATCCCTTCTTTGAACGTGAACTACGTACTTCAATATTAATTGTCATACAAGTTCATTTCCCTTCTTCGATTTATTGTTAGCCCTTGAAAAGCTTGAATTTTGTGCACACCGTTTAATAGATTAGTTAGTTTCATCTACAAATTAATTCCTAGATATTATTTCGAGCTTGCAGTTCATAAAATTCACCAGAAACGGTTCTAGCATCTTTATTATTATTTAATTGTAATAAACCTATTTGATGGCTGTAAATTTTATGCCAGCAATAGTATGCATATTCCACCAATACTCCTAGAATACTAAGCCACGACAAATGTAACGACCTTTTATTTTGTGTAACAGACACCTGAAATTGGCGCAGCTGCGGGCCATCAGTGTGGACGAGGGCGCCTGCTCCATCTGCTGCGACAAGCTCGCCCAGGTGGTGCTTAGGCCTTGCGGACACAGGTACGTTTATCAAATCTATTTAGTTGCCCTTGAAAGTCTTTTGGTTTTAAATCATATTTATTGACGCCAATAAGACAAAATAATTAATTAGGATTCTTTAAATTCAGGGATATTTATCCAGTCTTATTTTATTGAATCATTTTGGTAGATCTTAGGATATAGGTAGAACTTCAAGTATGTTTTCACTCGAAATTTGTTCATTTCACAGAGGTTTCTGCGAGGAATGTTCTTACGTACTGGAACGCTGCCCTCTGTGCCGAGCCAACATAGAACTCCGAGACCTAAGCAACTCAGCAAGAACTTCTCCCCAAACTGACAGCGAGATGCCGAGACCGGAAAGTCGTTCAGCCGACACGTCGAGCGTCAATTGTAGGAGCTCTTCTGGGTCTCTTGACGTCCAGCGTGATGACAGTGCTACTAGTGCTGCTAGCGAGGGTGACATTGCTGGTCGTATTGCCGCCGAGGGTGATGACCATGTTAGTAGTGCTGCTGGCATGCGTGATGAGGCAATAGAAGCTCGCGAGGACGCGGTAGGTGACTTTGTAGCGGTACCTCGCGTCGTTCCACTTGTCAGAAGAGGTGATGGTAACTGTAATACCCTAGCGGAACCTCTTGATGTTCTCACAGCGCCTCAAGTTTCCTCTTGCGGTTCTCTGGTCCCCGTCGCAGCCAACGTGTCAGAAAACGAGAATGGCTCTCACTGCATTGAGAAAAATTCTTCGTCAGTAAATTTGAAGAGTAAAAAAGATCGTTTGAGACTGCAAGTGATAGATCGCCCAAGTAATGCCATTGAGAGCAATTATGCTGTCAGTAATTTATCAATAGATAATGACGAAGCGATCTGCTCCACTGAAGCTATTCCGACGAGCCAATCTCTTCAGTGCTGTAACCAGAAGGCACAGTCGCTGAATTCTAGCTTACCAATAATTCCCTTGACTAATTCGCCAAATGGTATTTATTCTAGTATTTTAAGTTCTGTATCTTTAAGTATCCAATGCGATTGTGATAATAGAGATATTGAAGGTGGTTCGGTGTGTTTGCATTGTAGCATTGTCCGCTGCGATGATAAGGCCGTATTTAAATGTCAGTCTCCATTGGAAGAGTTTAAAATTCGAGATGAAAAAGAAAACCCGCCTCGAACCACGCAGCTCGCTTTGTGTACTCAAATTCATAGTGCGCCTTTTACTGCCCCTGATGCGGACGAAGCCTGTACATCTAAGGCCTCAGTTCCGCAAGACCCTTCAAATGTGAGACAAAATCAAAGTTCGGTCTCCCACACTACCCTCACTCTAAATACCGACAGCTTTCGTGAGCACGGTATTGCACCTGAAGCTCAGTTGGCTGGGGCAAATATCTTAGGTGTGACTAGCATCTCATGCGCAGCCCTCCCATCAGATATTGCTTGCGACGCTACAGCGCAGAATAACTTTACCTGCAATACGAGAGCTAATATCAACTGCAATGGTGACTTTTGCTCCACTAACAATGTGGCGCTTGCTTCTCATCCTCCCACTAATTCTGTAACCTGTCTCCCGTCTACTCCTGGGGCGTCATCGAGTAGAATTGTCCCTTGTACGCCTAGCGGGCCCCAAGATGCTTCCAAACACAGTTGACGGTTTCGTTTTCCCCTCTTCCCCAAATTTACTTCCGTTTCATCCTCTAGATGTATTCGTATTCAACCTAATTAACTATTCAGAAATTTGTAAGCGTTATTGTTTTTATATTTCAAATTATGTTTATTTATGATTTATTCATGTAGGTATTAATGTTGTTGGAAGGTGTTTTGTTTCGTTACTCGGCTAGAAATATGCTACGTTTTATTTTAGCTTCTTTAGAATGTTTGATGTCTTCTATACTCATCTGGAACAGAAGTGTTCGAAATCATCAACGATCATGAATAACTTGGCACCAAGTACCCATAGAGTGCCAAACTGTTTTTAAATGGGATTCTTCTAACTTGTAACCGTATCAAGATTTTCGGGTTTGTAAAGCATTTTGTCTTTCTGTTTCGTCTTTTCTGTCGCTTCTTACGAGATTCGGCCAGTGCTACTTCCGCCGTACCAACGTTGCTTGGGGACGAATATAGACCAGCTCCTTAATTAAGTGCTACTTCCGCCGTACCAACGTTGCTTGGGGACGAATATAGACCAGCTCCTTAATTAGCAGATTGTTGTTAGACCAGCTCCTTAATTAGCAGATTGTTGTTGCTTTTTCTCGGGGCCCCGTCATGGTACAAGATCGAGTAACGCATAAAAGCCACCACCCACGTATACTCAGATCACGAGTGTAGCTTGGATGAAGAGTCAACATGTCTTGGCTGTAAAGTCCTGTTGGTCGTGTTTTATGTTTGTAACGAGCATGGCAGTGCGATCAAGAAGCGTTGGCTGTTGCGAATACCATTTGTATGGCCATAATGGTGAGCACTGCACTGCTGGCTGTTGCGAATACCATTTGTATGGCCATAATGGTGAGCACTGCACTGCTGGCTGTTGCGAATACCATTTGTATGGCCATAATAGTGAGCACTGCACTGCTTAAGATGTCTGGGGAGTTGTGCGGCTCCAGAGGGGACGAGAGACCAAGTGACGAGACGAGAGTCGTTGGTTGGAGTAACCTTTAAAAACGCATACATCTCCAGGAGCTGGTAAACATCAGGTTGTTCTCATCGTTCTTTTTCGTCTTACCATTTCATTTTCTGTCGCTGCTCAGAATCACACCTAACGGCATCGGACATGACGACTTGAGTAGCTGAAATCAAATTAGCTACTCAAAAGACCACCTTCAGTTTCAGTCCGTATCATGTTTAATTTATGTATTTATTTTTATTGTTAAGAAGTTTAGTTCCATTAGTTGATTAAACGGCATTATTTCAGAACAAATCTGAAGTCCATTTTTCCGTTTCAGTTTTCTAACTGATAAATCTCGGTTTCATACTTGTGTGATTTCATACATGTGTTGAAATTTCTATTCACTCATCCTACATGACATGAAATTGCCGGCTCCTCTTATTCCGCTCATCGGGCCACCGTTCGTTATTTGCATGAAGTGAAGTGAGCGCTTACATTTAACAATGTATGGACTCGCTGGTGTATCTGGTGCTTGAAAACAATACTCGTAGTGTATCCCATTGTAGCGTTGGCTTCTGTGGCTTGCTAACCAAAAGCTACAGCTGAGTTACCAGCCTATACAATCTTAGACGTAGATATTCTCTTATCAATCATTGCTTACTGATATAATGCACTATGGCATTCGTGCTACTCGTTGTTGCTCGTATTGAAGATTTCTGACGATTTTCATGTTTTTACGCGGAAATTGATTTAATGCATATTCAGAGGGCAGTCATGTCAGGGGTGATCTAATTTTTTTCAAGTTCTTTATTTCAATGATTGAATTGAAAAATGTTCTTTCTTGCTTGAATGCTTCATTTTCAGAGTCCTTTATATTTATCTCCAGTCCTATATATGCCTCCAGGCCTTATATTTGTCTCGAGTCCTACACTTGTTCGTTTAATTCCATAAGGTCGATAATTCACTCAGCTTTCTTACCACGAAAAAAGAAGCTCGTATGTTCATCAAAACTTGGGGTCATACAATATGTTTCCGCTTCAAATACTCTGACAGGATAAAATGTGTTTTTACGTGTGCGATGATCGAAATGTAAATGTTTTATACATTTTTAGCGTGAATTTCAAAAAGCTGGGGTGTTTATTTAGGTTGGTTTTTCGTTTTTAGTGTCTTCAATATCTACTAAATTAAGAATTTTAAAAACCAGGAAACGCCACTAAATTTATGTAAATTCACGTAGAAACTTTTCGAAGACCAGCTCCATTATTAGTTCCTAACTGCACGAATACGGGTTAAATTAACAGAATGACGAAATAATACACGAATAAATTATATAATGACGAAATTAAGAGATTAAAAAGTAGATAACCTATAACGAGTGGATAAGATTTTTTCAAAGATGTGCATTGAACCAATCTTGAAGCTAAGTCAATCTAAACAAAATTTATACTTCCTATTCGCTTGCAATTATTTATTGATAGAATTTACATTACGTGGCTATATAGATTTTAATCTCTTCCGTGTAAATTTGGTGTTTTTATTTATTATAATTATATTATTGAAGTTTCGAGCTACTGATTGAGTTTGTCTATGACACGTTTCCAGTGAAGATACAATAAATTTACTTGGCATTCTGCGTTCAAGTCCTTGTTTAATTTGTTTATTATTACTTGACCATAATTTTCGTGTCAAATGATATATTTGATTGTGAATTTCTTGTCTATACGAGTATAGAGCGTTACATCATTTTCGCCTGATCTCGTGACTGACTGGGCCCGAAACATATTCCGTTAGCCGGTTTTGTGATATATGCCAAAAAGTTACGGTTCATCGTCTCACTGAGGCAAGATTTATTCATTAAAGAGTAATGTCTATTTGACGAGTTTTAATTAACCTGCATTTCCGAGCTGAAACTTTTCTGGGACTGAAGTTTTATATATATTGCATTTCTTACTAAGTAATACAGCGACTAATTAGTGTACAGTACACAGTAAAAAATATTCACGATAACTGAATTTTGGTAATTCGAATTGCGTGCAGAATGCAATTTTAAACGAAGTTCCCGAGAATCCCTCAGTTCGATGATCAGAATACAGCTGTCCAAAAACATTAACATCTTGACGAAGAAAATGTTGCCATAAGCCTATTTCTTCAGTGCCGACACTTCTATTCTATAAGTAACGTTTGACTACGGAACGTGCAACAGGCCATTGCCAAACCATGCACGCAAGCTTGGAGAAGCTTTATGCTCACCATGTATGGAGTTCCCATTTGAAATTTATTTACGAATTTTGGACGGCCGGCGCACTGCCATCGACTGGCCGCTGTTTTCCCCGACATTATTCCCTACAGTGTTCGTCTTATCAAGCATTTAATCGAGGTAGTCATGGAAGTCGCCCTGCCTGGTCATGAAGACTTAACGCCACGCGGCACGCACCATGAAAAATTTTTGGCGCAGCTCTTGTTGCTCTTGCAACTTTTTCTTTAAATTAATTCCAGAACAACTAGAGTATTTTCGTTTGGTCTAGAACAAATATAATTTTTTCGTTTGCTCCAGAACAACTATTAATTTTTTCGTTTGTTCTAGAATAAGTATTATTTTTTTCTAATTACTCGTACTTTAATTCGCCGGAATTTCGTTCTGTTTTTTTTTTTTTGTATACTCCGAATGACATTGACATTTTGTTTGTCAAATATTTATTTTAACAATCATGCGTTCATGAAACAAAAATTAACAGCAAAAAAATAATTAATAATTAAACAGCGGAAACATGAAATAATACTTTACATTCAAAACATGAGTGTTAACAATCGTTAGTTCTAATCAAGTTTCGTGATGCAATTAAATTGTAATAATAATAAGTAAAAAGTATAATTAATAAAAATTTTAATAATGTAAAGGTAATATGATGAAAGAAATGTCTGCTGATCTCATTCGAGCAAAGTGTATATGATGAGAGCAACGATTTCAGGCAATATCATTACAGCAGTATTTGGCAAAAAAATGTTAATAGCGATAACGTCAACTGAAATCATTCTAGCACTACTAGGCCGAATAATGATCGAGATGATGGCAATGATGTACTCGTAAGAACCATCCCACGATCCCTTTGAAGACCATTCACCTTCAATATTTCCCTAGAAACAACACGTTCAATTTCCGAGCTCATGATGATCACAATATCCCAATTAGCCATCAATTCAGGGTTAGTTATCAAAAATGCACTTACCAATCACTCTAAATATTGCAGTAACAGGTAGATGGCTCACTGGCACATTATTATTTTTATAACGTACCCCTTTTTAGCGCATTTTCTCATTTATGGAAAAAAGGCGCTATTGTGCTCGCCATGTCCGTTCCTACACTACATTATAACGCAGCACCTCCAGAATACTACTATACGTTTCCGAAACAAGCTCGAATTAAGACGCGCGTAGGTGTGACACGAAAGTTTTATAATTTTTTTTTTCGGTGTTTTGTATTGTTATTGAAGGAAAGGTTTTGTATATGCAGTACAACATTGAAATTAAGAATTTTTTCCAAGTAACAATACTAAATGTGTTCATTAGTCAAGTCGAATATTTAAGAATATTTAGGTATTGTCTCATTTCCCATAACAGAGCTTCGGATGAAAAGTTTTGTAGTTGTCATGAAAATTTTATCGTAAATGTTATTTAATTTGCCTTTTACATAATTTCCTGCGAACAAGTTTTAGCACTTATTACGCAATTGAAAATGAAATTTTATTTAATTGCCTTAGCATAATTTAAAATGGAAGTTAGTCTATTTATAATGACATGAACATATGCGAAAATAGTCTTTTGCAGCAACAAAGCCAACATCAAAATTGCTGAGGTCTCTTAACTTAATCCATCGTGAAAATTGCTTCAGTCGCAGGCTGCCGCTGCTGCAGCATGTCCAGCTCTGTTGGCTCTGACAGCAGCACCTCCAGCTCCATCAGCACTATCAGCAGCACCTCCAGCCCTGTTAGCACTATCAGCAGCACTATCAGGAGCAGCTCCAGCTCTGTCAGCACTGACAGCAGCACCTCCATTACACGAGGCCCAGGCAGCAGCATTAGGTGTGCGTGCAGCACGAAGGAGTGCAGGCAGCAGCACCGCATCTCGTGCAGCACGCAGGGATCTTGCTACGTGCAGCAGCTGCAGCATCACTCTGGCTTGCAGCAAACGCGAGGCTGCATCGACGGATTGTGAGGAACTCTTTATCATTATCATTTCCTCAAATACTACTTTGTTTCTAAAGATTTATTTGCGATCAATCATCTTCGTATTCCATTGTGACATAAAATTTATTTAGACAATATCGCATATTGCATTTTTAATTGAAAATTTTCTGAAACATTGAGTGATGCACAGTCAAGCTTCATTTCTTCCTCTATTGTAACTAAATCCGCGTGAAAATGATTGCTCCAGCTCTGTCAGCACTGACAGCAGCACCTCCATTACACGAGGCCCAGGCAGCAGCATCAGGTGTGCGTGCAGCACGAAAGAGTGCAGGCAGCAGCACCGCATCTCGTGCAGCACGCAGGGATCTTGCTACGTGCAGCAGCTGCAGCATCACTCTGGCTTGCAGCAAACACGAGGCTGCATTGAGGGATTGTGAGAAACTCTTCATCATTATCATTGCCTCAAATACTACATTATTTCTAAAGATTTATTTGCGACCAATCATCTTCGTATTCCATTGTGACATAAAATTCATTTAGACAATAATTCGCATATTGCATTTTTAATTGAACTGTTTCTGAAATGTTGAGGGATGCACAGTCAAGCTTTATTTTTTTCCTCTATTGTAACTAAATCCGCGTGAAAATGATTATAAGATTTACCAGCATGTGCAGACTTTCCTTGCGGAAATTTATATTTAAAGTGGAATAGAAACGTAAATTACTGATCCTATGAACGTAAATTAACGAGATCTTCTTATTTTTAATTTTATTAGGTAAATATTTACCACGGAAATGTCATTTCGACTTAAATAAATAAAATAAAATAAAAATAAAACAGACAATTGCGGGTTCGTAAAAATTTTCATGCTTGGAAATTATGCGCACGAGTACCTAGTGTAAGTACTATATTTCTTTCAGAAGTAAAGTGATGAATCGGAGTGCATACAAGTCATAAATTAAAGCTTTTTGATTGCTAGGTTCATACACGTATTTATCGAAAAGATTCATAAAATTCCAACAAAACTGCTTCCCGCTTAATGGTTATTATATAATTATCGTGGTGTTAAAGAAATCAAAATATTTTGGGGAGACCAATGGTTCTGGAAAACTGAGACCTTACCAAGAAATATTTTTGGATGAAATGATCCAAGCTTGGCCAGAGTTTACCCTAGAGTTACTGATATAAGCGCTTCATGTAAATTGTAACTTTTTGAGATAAAATGTTCACAGAGCTTATTATTCCTCGATAATAATCACTAAAATACAATAACATAACTAACAACAATAGACCGTAGCAATTATTTATATGTTATAACGAACTTCAAAGAAATGTAGTGCTTATAAATTATTCTTTTGGGCACCAGTGTAAGCTGCAGCAATCGTATATACGTACAGGCTGAGTAAAATATTCAATGGTTCTGAATTTTTGAAACTTCTTCTTATAATATACAAACGCACGTCGGGCAAATAGGCTCTAAAAATTTTCACAATTGAACAGGTTATCGCCTGAAGCCTAGAAATCTCGTATTTCTTTTCATTTAAATCCATTTCATTTCTCGATATATATCTTTTCCTTTTAACCCATTTTATTTCACGGTAAATTTTTTTTCATTTTACCCGTTTAATTTTTTACGATATATATATACAGCTCTCGAACGCATCAACTATTTCATATTCACACAGGCCATCGCAGTCTCTGCTGTGCTCACTCCCCGCCCCGGTCAACCTCCTGACGAAGGTCCACCAGTGGCCCAGGTTGGCTTGCTGCTCATCAGATCTCTGCAACGCCCCGCTGCTGCTTGACCTCAGCACCGACCAAATACTAGCGGCGAGGGGCACCTCTGCAACTAAGATGTCTTCTCCTGGAAGCGAAGAAACGGGGACTGGAATATCAGAGTTTTCCGACCCAGAAAATGGAAGAAAGTCTATCGATCGAGGAAATATTTTAAGGATGAATTCAGAAATCACGTCTTCGGTGGCATCAGGTGAGATACGCGACCCGCTTGTACAAGAAATTCATTTCCAATTAAGATGTATGATCTTTGGAAAGAAGTGCTTCATTTTGATCAAGATTATACGCTTGTAATATTCTTCATAATGTTCTTTATAATCATAAAAATACTATGGTTAGTGATGGCTACATCACTTGTTAGAGAAATCACTATTCATCAATTATTCTTGTTTGATATGAAATAGATTTGAATCAGATGGTCTTCTTGTTCTTGTTTTATCGCACTGTTTTTAAAGTTTATACCATTGATATGTTTTTATCTAGTCAAAATATTTCACCAGACGGTGCAACGATGGTTGAACAGGGTTGGAACAAGACATCACACCGCGGAGCAACACTGCTGCACACGCTGCTCACGGTGCTCACGGTGCTCTGCAGTCTGGTGCTCTGCGCCGTAGCGCTTCTCGCCCACGCCATCCGTAAAAACTCCACGAAATATTACAGCAACTCCAACCTCAAATACGTCATCGTCTGAGAACAATCTTCCACATCACATTGCAGACTCTGGCAAAAAATTTCATGATAAAAAATTGAATTATTTGCAGCGATCATTGAGAAAACATTAATTTTGATCTTTAATATGTATCAGGTTAAAAAATTTTCATACTGTTTTGTGGTATATTTCTCTTGGTATTGAATTTTATGCATTGTAGGTTGATTCTGATTATTTATTCCATTTTTATCGCATTTTCTCATATATGAAAAAATGCACTATTGTGCTCGCCATGTCCGTCTGTCCGTCCGTCGGTCCGTCTGTCTGTCCGTCTGTCTGTCCGTCCGTGCCTTCATGTTTTCGTCGAAGTGAGTGTTGAGTTATATTTTTTCAAATTCAGATCGAACCAACGCTTTCCTGCAACCTCGTGATTTCTGAAGTACTAAGCTGCTGTGTAACGCCGATTTTAACAATATATTTTTCTGAGAGTTAATGTAAAATTAAGAATCAAACTAACATAGATTTCAAATGTATTTAATAGTTAATCGAAAAGTCTAAGCCCATTGGAGCCAAATTAAATAATATTAAGTACAAAGACAAGGTGTATTAGAGTACCTCAGCACTGCGTATTATTTCAGAATCGTAGTGAATAAAGTAGTGATGTCGGCGCTGAAGAATAGGCCTTTTGTGGCCTGCCGGCAATTTTTGTACTTATCGTGACTTTTTCACAGGAAATCACAATCATGTCCTTTGACCTTATCTTTTCAAAACTGACGACAGTTTGAAATAGCTACTATAGACTTCCACCGGGTTCGATATGGTCCAAGGCATTTCAAGTCTGAACATATATTTCCAGATAGTTTTATCTAGTCTGTTAATTATTGAACGCGTTCATACTCGGAGCGTCAACGATGTAATCGATCGCAGAGGCTGTTCCACATGTCGGAGACTCGAGGCGAGAAGAAATGTTGTCGCGTGAATGAGTTGCAGAGCAGTTTTTTAGTTAAAGCCTTGGCCTCTGTGTGATATCGGGTCATAATATCGTTTTAAGAAAACTGAAATTTAAAAATATTCATGTGAAGTATGAAAAGAGAAAAATTATTATTTAATGTATGACAGTGAAGGCATCATTTTGTAAGCCGAAATTCTCAATAGATGAATTGAGATAGCTTAAATTGTTCAATAAATTTTCTATAACTCATATACGGCATAGAATTTTCGTTAACTTTACGCGCTATTAACTGTAGCTGAACATATTTAACTGTGCGCACATTTGATGAGATGCTTTACGATTTATTAATTGAGATACTAATCATTATATGGGAAATTAGCATGTCTACTCAACAATAATATCGAGTCCGCTTGGAAGCCCTCGCTAGAGCGAGTATTGCAATACTTTCTCGGAAAAAATGAAAAACCTCGCCGCTTAAATCTGCGACTATTCATTTTGAAAATTAGGAGGAATAAATTTAGGATATTCTTCCATTTACATTGTTGTAAATAAAACGATTCAATCAAAACTATCTGCTGAAACCATTTTTCATGAATAAACACATTTTGCTGAATTGAAATAATCGTAGCCGCTTTAAGCTTCCATATAGCCTTATAAACTAAAACTCTTCTGCATCAAGGAGCCAAATCTAAAATGATTCAAATGTAAAAATCTTCTAATTCAAAGTCGTTATGTACGCAATACTTCAAGTGAGAAGAACAACAGCTGTGGGACAAGACAATTTTTTCGCAAATGATGAATTATTTCTTCGAGCCGAATACACATGAACATCAAACACATAAACAGGTATTAATATTTACTACATGCATTTAATATTTAAATCTTTCAATTCTTCTCTAGATTTTTTCCCAGTCTTTAGAGCACATAATATTAAATTTTGATGTTGCTTTTTTACATTCCAGCTTATCCGTGATGTTTGTCAAGGGAAAAGAACAAATCATTAAGGATTGGCATTATAACATAAAGCATAACTAAAAATATTACATCTAAGATATCCATATCATAATTATTTTATGCGTAAAAAAACGAATAAATCTACAAACGAGGTTAACATTTTTGCGAAATTTCAGAATTCGTTGGGAAATCTAGCGCCTGGTTCCGTATCTTCTAATCTAAACACTAAAATTAATTACCCAAGACAAAAACTATAACTTCATTAAACTTGCCTAAAGAGAAATGAAAACTGTTTTGCCGAATTTAAAAAATTATTCGGTATTAACAAATACTCTGTTTAATATAAGTAGTTCCATCATTAATTATGAACAGTTTATGGCCCAAAATGCTGAACAGAATTGACTCAATAAATCGTTTCATAAAATTATTTTTTTTTATATTTTTTAATTACGGACGAAATTATGAAGCGAATAAACTGCGGTAGATTTTCCAAGTATTTATAAATAGTACCCATTTGATAGTAAACTGCCCTCTCACAAAGTCTTTCCTATATCTACAGAAAAGAGATGAAATATCGTACTTCAAACGAAAGAAAATTTCTGTTCTATTTCTGTACCACTTGAAATATGTGACCGCAAGATGTCAACCATAGGAGCATATCTTAACTTTCCAGAGAAAAAATATATACATTGAAATACAAGTTTGGCGTCAGTTGGAATCAGAATGTGGATATTAAAAACACTTATTTGCGAAAATTCTAGACAAAATAAGGAATATTTAACCGAAAATATTGATGGAGGATTTTGCAAATTCATTTTATGTGAAATAAACTTTTGATTGAGTGAACTAAGTAAGGCACGTAATTGTCATTAGATTTAAAATATGATAAACCATTACATCGACTAATTGCAAGGAGAAGTTACCAAACAATGAACGGTTAAAAAAATACATCCTATCTCGAGAAAATTGTTATCAATCCATCAACAGCAATATGGGTACTCGTGCAGGTAATGTTGCAAAGCGACAGGGAGACTATCGAACTCTATCTCCTCTTCGTGCTTGTTGACCGCTAGCCTGGCCAGGTGTTTAAGTGACAGTACGGTGTGCATCAAGGGTTTTGATAGCTGTATGGAGGCCACCACCGAGCCTGTCGAGTCCATCCAGACGTGGCCGCCGGTGAGCACCGCCGACCGAGTGTAGGGGTTGACGGGCGCTCGGCGCGCTGGCCGTGAGAGTCTGACGTAATGTTGGATCAGGTCGTGCACCGACTGAAATGCCAAGGAATGACTTCCTGGATCACTATCAAGACAAAATTCGGTAGAGTTGCCGATTATTCTGACGCTAGTGGGTCCCCGATGAGTTTGAACGCTCATAGAAAATCTGTATCGTGGATCAGAGGAATCTCTCAAGAGGAAGGTCCCAACTTCTGAATCTCTCAGTTTCACCTCAGCTTCTTGCCACGAGAGCTTGCCGTAATACCAGCCACATATAGCAACCTGATATTCAAATAATTTAAGTCCTTTCCGAGGCAGGTTTCTTCCGATGCACGGAAAACAATTATTAGCTTGCTGAAACGGTCGGCTTGTTTGAGGAGAAGAGTTCTCGTGCGAGGCATTTACAACCGAAAGACAATGCGCCTCTTGATCATTCACTACCGAGCAGCATTCGACTTTATTTGAAATTTGGCTAAAAAGTTGTTGAGCGCAATGCGCTGGTGGTTTAAATTCGTTTTCAAAAGAAATATTATTGGAAAAAATACTTCGTTTACACGAACAAGGACAGTTCAGGGCAGAAGTATCACTCGTTGTTTCTGAAATGTGAATGTCACCAATATTTTTTTCTGCTTTGTGGTTGCTTACTGACGGGTGAAATCTGCCGTTGTGTTCACAAACCCGTTGGCATGGCACAGACTTCTCCTTCAGCTGCCGCCACAGGTGAACTTTTTGAAGTTGACATGAAATGGATTGACACGAATTTCGAAGTGCGCTTGCAACCATGTCGCACGACTCCGTTGAAAAGGGCAGCATCCTCTGAACAGCGGCACCGGATAAACTTTGAGAATCAGGCATTGCTCTGTTACCTGCACACGACGATGGCACAGTTCTACAATTTCGGTTATTTTCGCTCGTGAAATGACATGACCTGAACGTGCAATGACAATGCTGAGTTTGTTGGCATGAAGAAAAGTGCATTCTGGTGTCTGAAAAAATTACTGTAATACAAGTTCTCTTATATTTTTAGTCTTACTGTGAATACACAATTTTTCACCCCTATTATCTGTAAGCAGAAAGAAATTTCAGTTTTATATATATGAATGATGAAAAGTGTCGTTTTTTAGGGAAACTATAACAATGAAACCATTATCACATTATATCTCGTATGGTCCCATAAATATTTGACGACAATTTAGTTAAGATAAAACTCGCCGTAATTTCCTCCAAAGAATATTTTAGTAAGTGCAGATGAAATACTCGTATTGCTTATCTCATGTATAAGAGCTCACGTGTCATCACTGAACTGATGAAAGCTGATCAGATAATCATTAGTAGGGTGGTGAATTGATCAAATATGGGACTGTATGTTTGTGTTATTCCGTTCATTTTATTCTCCTATCAAAGGCATTTTTTGGTAAGCGGACAAATACACAGTTACTGCATGCTTAGGTACTGTAGGGATCAGAAGAAATAAATTTCACATTTATGATAGTTGATATTTAGAAATTGGAAAAGAATATTCATATTGATTTTTATTTCGTTTCAGGTGCTAAATATTTTTTGTGTTGTATCACATGAATGAACATGAAAATTAATTGCGTAAAAATCCTGTAGACAAAAAATTACTTGAAACGGCGAAAAAAGTTTATTAAGGACTTCTTCTTAATTTATTGATTCGCTCTATATACTGTAAGTCCTGGAGTGTCAATATAATGATTTTAATACATGTATCTTATTTTTTCAGTGCTGAATTTTGTTATCAACATGAGCACGCCGTTCACAGATGATCTGATTAGATTAAACTCAAGTGCTGAGTGAAATTAGCATTAAAAAAATTCACTTAACGTTGGACAAATAATGCCAGAGAATATTTCTGTAATAATACACTAGCGTTATATTAACTAAATGCTGTGCTCTTGGCGAATCACTTCGCCCGTATTATTTTAATCACTGCTCGGTACAAATTATGAATTAACTTATTGCAAAATCGAGTCCTCTTACGTGAACCCAATACATATGCCTAGAAATTAAGTCTAGAAATCCTTACTTCTCCATTGTGATGTTAGACGTTTACAGCTATAATATGAACATAAAACCGTGAATAAATCACAGTAGTCGTACTATGCATTCTAAATGCGCGCAACTTCTCTACCTATAACTCAATCAGTCGCTAGAGATCATTGTGGCACTCTAGCCACGAGCACGGAGGAGATGTTGTTCATAGTTTTTCTCCATTCTCTAATTATAATAGTATATTATAATATACTATACTATTATAATATACTTCATGTAAACTGATAAATAGAAGCGCTGAAAATTTTTCGAAATCTATTCGTGATTTGAGGCGACTCTGTGCTTTCGTAACGCTTGAAATGAGTTGTAAAGTACTGTTTCTAAACAAATATCTCGATTATTATACTTAAGTAAGTATGTAAATCACGCAACCACTTCTTCATCTGAACTTTCATAGGAGGAGGAAATGTGCACTTGCGGAGCCATTCTCCGTAGTACTGCACCTAAGAACATCAAGAAAAGGTCAAATCATCATCGTAACGAGATTGCATTTCATTGGCGGACAACGCCGAACTTTTTGATATCGCTTCTCTGATTGGACAAGACGCCTCGCGTCGCCCAAGACTGGATTAAAACTCTGCTGAGGCCACACCTTCCTTTGTTGACCTGCAGCATCGAGGCACTGCAGTTGGAGCATGTGGCCTCCCATTGGTCGTTGGACTTCATAAAAGAGTACTGGAAAATAGCCGAAAATAACATTCCCATGCATCGTCCATCACCCCGGCTTTCGAAAGACGCAGGAGCTTCAGGAGCCGCGTCATAATCGCTAAATTAGAGAGACGCTCTTGATCGAATTTTTATTGTGATCGATCAAACAGCAAATGGATGCCGGTTCCTGAGTACCCAACATCTTCATTGTGGCACTCAGCTGCGTACAAATAACCTTGTAGGTGAGTAAAGATCCTTAATACTCTTTGTAAGCTATGTATATTTTTTCATACATAGTGTGTCCGTAGTTCTGGAATAAAATTCTGCTTGATGTGGATTATGTCCATTGCTCTTTGCAAGAAAATTGTCGGGCAGAGATCTCGTTTTAACGCAATTGATAACTAACTTTCTGTGACGAACCTTCGTCTTCACAGACTCGTGCTAAACTCGTTCATAAATATTTGATGATTTGAATGCTTCACCAGAAATATTCCCTGTATTCCAATACGTCTTATCCTATTGTAATGCACGTATTATGTTAGTAGGGTGCGCCACTCCAGGCGTTGCATGGAGTCTCATTAACTGCGATCTTGGACTCGCGACGATGAATCAGCAAAAACTGCTGCTCAAGCAGCCGTGGAGTATTGTTGGTCGAGACTCGGGGGACTTGAATGACTTGGGCAAGTGGATGTAAATAATATTTGATTTTCGATAATGTACTTTCTAAACTAAATTTCAAAATTTTGACCCACGTTATTTAAATCTACGGACAACGAATCAAAAATTTTGATCGTAATAGAAGAAATAAATCTACAAGGTTGGTACATCGTCCTACAGTCCAAAACACCATATAACTGCCGACATCATGCTCATACGAATATATCAATAAGCATTATCTTTTACTATATGTCCTTTGTTTTTTCGTGGAAAATTTTCAAGGCAGCCATTTTGAGAGTCTGAACAGGAAGCCAAGCATTCCGGTTACATTCCTTCTAGCCATGGGCACCGAAAAACCTTTAATGTGTTTATGGATGGACTTTGCATTCTACCATCCACGCATGGTGTAGATCTTGGAAAATAACTCATATATCGTGCGTTTTGTGATGATCGTCCACTGTTTGTAACACCTCCGTAATTCGAATCAAGCACATATTAATTATATTATATGAACGTTTTCGATTAGTATCGTGTGTTTATATGCACGTATGTGTAGGGTTTCATAGTCGCACGTTTACACTGAGTCCGCCAGCACAATAATTATTTTCAATTAGGATTTCAAATTTTTATTTTGTTATTTTTATCCCTCAACTGGATAACAACAGCCGATAAAATAGCGGCCCAACATGATGTTTTTAGCTGAGGCTATATTAAAGGTATAAAGCCATCAAGGAAGCAATAGAGAATTTTGATAAAAATAATGCCGTCTTAAATACTGTACAATAACATTGGCCTAACTTAAAAATACATATTATATATTTTACTATTACCTAAACAGTTCTCAAAATGAATAATCATTGTGATTTTGTATTCGATATAATTTTTTTATTTTGACGGTCCGGGCCCGTGGCCTCTTTATCGCATTTTTCGCGGCATATTAAAAAGCAAATGCAAGATGATCGACTTCTGATTTTTGCGGTAAATCCCGTTCGTCTTGAAACGTTATTCAAGAGAGCTCCATTTGAAAGGTAAACAAATCTTAAAAGGCTCATTTTTCCACATTGGTCTGTTAGTGTGTTTGTCGTCCCCGATATTACTCATACACGGACTTTCTATTCCTCTTATACATGCTTACCTTTTCCGCCATATGCTCCTTCCTGCACGATGTATTCATTCAGTGCCTTCTCCAAACTGTTCAATATGTTTTGCGCAATGTTGAACTCCACTTTGGTTCTCTCTATCACTTTGTTTATGTAAGGGTTCTTTTTACCGCATTTTCTCATTTATGGAATAAAGGTGATATTGTGCTCGTCATGCCCGTCTGTCCGTCTGTCTGTCCGTCAGTCCGTCCGTGACTGCACGTTTTCGTCGAAAAGAAAATGCGCTCTCAATCACTCACTGCAGTGAGTACTGAGTTATATTTTTTATTTGTTAATTGGTTATACCTGCTCTAAACTCCTTTGTTACTCTATCCATACAGCAATTAAATCTTACATCCATTCCTTACAGAACTTGAAATCATTTCCTCCACATTTTTTACAGCTCACTCTTCTCCCTTGAACTTCCCCTCACATCCCATCTTCCCTTGCTGCCATTTACCCCACCAGGGTTCCGCTGTCCCACCAATTTAGCCTTTCATTATGGCATCAATTCTACCCTCCTTATTGCTAAACCCTCCCTTCTGTTCTACCCTTTAGCCTTTCATTATGGCATCAATTCTACCCTCCTTATTGCTAAACCCTCCCTTCTGTTCTACCCTCCATTCCACCCTCCCATCTAAACCCCTGCTTCAGTCTACATCTACTCGATCGTCTACCCCGTTCAGCCTGCGGCGCTGCTGTTCCGAGAGAAGCGTCCGCGATTCAAAGAATCGTGACTTGCAAGTTTGCCTGATCAGCTCCGGCCTTTCTTTTCGTCGCGGCGCGGACAGCAATCCTTCCTCCGCCTCCTCTCTTATCGATTAGTTCAAAACATTCTATTGATGCCTACTACTCCCCCTATTGCAAACTCTAGAAAAAAACTCCCTGAGATCTTTGAATACTCGTGGTCCTTTAATGGTCTCGTGAAACAAGGCTTCAGGATTGCAAGATAATCATGCGTGGTCTCCTCGATCCATCGTTCAAAGCGTGCTTCTTTAATAGCCTGATGATGAACCGGTTCTGGAGACACAAAACATTGGCGAACGCCAAATGCGAGGGCATCATAACGATACTGTTTAACTAAAATTTTGTTGATGAACCTGGTGGGGTTTTAGAGATATAAGTACGACAATCTATGTAGTAAATAATTCTATGATTTCTTTTTATTTTTCCTTTACACCGTCACATCAATCTTGACTCTTTTTATAACAGGCACAGTTACAGTTGAAGTACGGAGAATAGCATGAGCTGCCATTATACATCAGAAAATTTTCAATTGATTAATTATTTACTAAATCGTAACTTTGTCAACTGATAACTCTCATATATTACGAAATATCAAAGATGCCATTATTGAATGGCATCCTGGTCGTGAGGTGCAGGGAAGTCGTAGCATTGCTACACGTCGCACTGATTGCAATACCTGACCAAAGATGTGCAAAAAATATTATAAGACCACGATGAAGAGGAGAAAGAACCCATGACTTGCGTTTTGATGCACCCACACTCGCACATTAAATGGAATGAAATACTGAAGAGGG